AGTAACGCACCGTAGAATGCAGATAAGGGCATGGCAAACACACTTTTGAAAAGCTTGAAGTCTGACGATTCCAAAAATATATACTTTCCTGGGTCTATTTGTAGTCATTTAGTCACAATTAGAAGATGAAAACAAGTATGCAAATAATAGTCCCGCTACCTTAATTCAGCGAAATTTAAACCCAGTGAAAAATTAGTGCATTTTCAATTTATGCTGATTTAATTTTTAGGAATGGCACACTTGGTAAGGAATTAAAACACATTTTATTTTTATTACCAATGGTAGAATGGTATTCATAATTTACCTTGTCTCTTGACAAGCAGGATGCTACACATCAACAACGCAAACTAATGCATTCTCATCTCTTAATCATCCAAAGTCATCTGCTGTGGTTAGGGGTTCCCCATTAGAAAATTGAGGGTGGGCAGGAGGATTTTGTCATGGAAGTATGGAAAAAGCAAAAAATTGTTGTCATCGGACATTTCCAGCCCGCCAGATTTCAAATGATTAATCCCTTGGAAATTGTATAGTGAGCATTTTAGATTTTCTGCATTGTTGTATCCAGGGGAAAAAAGTATATAAAAGTTGTATTGTTTAGTTGAGAGCCATTTCAATTTTGAATAACTTTGCCCCAAATCAAATATGTTTGTTTGTTTGTGAGTTATTTAATTATCCAAACCTGCTGTTTTGAATTCTGCTTCCTGTTGCTTGCTAGGTATGACTAACCTATGAAGTATGTAAATTCAAAGTTTGACAAGAACACATTTAGTGTTGATATAATTTTTTCTTTGAAGGGTACATAAGGGACTCGTTTAAATTTGGGGGTTATGGGTAAACAGGGAGGAGTATATTCATACTGATGTGACAATTAACCCATGATTACATCACTGGTTGGTATCTTTTTTTTCCTGGTTGAATTCAATGCATATCTCTGCCAGTATGTAGCACTCTAGCATGAAATATGTGTATGTATGTATGTATTTATGTACGACATAACATATTTGCTCTGTTATAGTATACACTTACTTAAATGACAGGTATGTCAAAATAAGATATATTTTAATGATCGGGTTAAATACAGTAAACACAATTCTCAGTATCTCAATTGCAGCACGCATGTTTTTTTTTCAGCAGTGACGACACAACTTTCAAACCTCTGGGGGTTGATACATTGTGTTCTATCGTACAAATCATGTATAACATTTTGTGCAGATGAAAATGCAGTTAACTGTTCATCATTAAAGTCATGTCTGTTTTTTAAAGTGTATTATACAAATGCAGTTTCCAACTCATTTAATGTTAAATTTGTCATCTCTATTCAAACATGTGCCTATTTAATATTAATTCAAATATCGAACCATATTCAGATCATACCCATTTTTTCTCCTTTGTCTACTTGCAACCTGTTGACTTAAATTAATATTTAACTTCTATTATGTCTTAAAATACGATGACTTTTATTTTATGTTTATTTGGCAACTAAAATTAGTGAAAGTATAAAAGTTCAATGATTAATATTTGCATCTACTGAATCATAATTTGCTACCTGATAAAACACACTCAGTAGAAATTAAATCAGTTCTTCAATTGTATTATGCCAATTTCTACAATGTTCAACTTTCTTCTGTGATGCAATACGTGAAAACATGTTCCAAGGACATACGTTTGTATTTGTGGACCTGAGAATTGCTGGTGTATGTGCAGTTGTATTTGAGATGCTCTTTTAATAGAGCAAATATGGTACTCCTACTGTACTTGGTAAAATTAGCATTATTAGTTGTTTTTTTTTTCAATCACTTTGATTAAGACCTGTATTCAATGTGAAATTATGTTCAAAATTAATAAAGAAATTATAGAAAAATAAATAACATATGTTGGGAAAATTAAGATGTTCAACTTATCAAATAGCTTCTTTTTGTTTTTATGAAGTATCATACCTCCTGAATTGTAATTTTTTGTCAAATAGGGTCAATTTTTTGGTCAAATTTTTCTCTGATTGAATTTCTTAATGTCATTTCTGTGACTCCCAAAATAGAAACAAGTTGATTTTTTGTGTCAACTTTCAACGTCTATGAATATAATAAATATACATCCCATGGTTATATGCAGTTCTCAAAGTCATGATACATTTGAAAGTGATAAATTCCTAACACAAAAGTTATGAGAAACCTAAACTGAAAGGTGAAGAAGAAGTTGGCTAAGTTTTATTACATGTACCGGTAGTTTGCAAAGCAGTTGATAAGATTTATTTCAAATTTGCATTATAATAAAGCTTTGTAGTATGACTGTCAGATACAAGACAGGTTTCCTTTTGCTGTTTACATAACTAACATAAGGTCACTTAAATCAGGTAAAACAAATGTTTGTATATACTGTATGATCCATTGCTGATGTAATATATGGAATGTTTTGTTTTCTGTGTGATTATTCATAAAAATATTAATATGTTTATTACCAATGCATCATACTCCATTCCTGTCAAAATACAATAAACATGTTCAATTTAAACATGTTCAAAAATACTCAGTTTTCTATAATGCTTCTTTAATGATAAGATAAACGAATATTTTCAGTTGAAAATAATATTTTGGTTAAAAGGTCTAGTATGCAAAAAAAACATTTCAAGAAATATGATTTTTTTTAAAAGTCCACATATATATTATTCTTGCATGTTTGTCTTAATTTTGTAAATAAACTATTTTTTTTCTCTGTGTTAATGTTGTTGAAAAATGAATACTTTTGCAATAGATTTAATAATAAATACACAATGTAGGGTGTTTAATCAACTTTAATTTTGAAGGGAAGTGAAAACAAAAAATATCAATATTTTAATATTTGACAAACAATATTTGTACAAACCAAGAAACTTACTGATAGTTACCAGGGTTAAGATGTCAAATGATGTCAATCATCGATAGTTCTCAATATTCACCTTTTCTTCCCAAATATCTTAGAGCCCAAATGTTTAAAAATTGCTAGGACCAAATATGGCAAATCAGATTTGGATCAGAATTTCACCAAGTTAGTGAGAGTTTCTGTGAGATGGTGATGGAGGGTTTCAAATATTGTTTCAAGCCATGATTATTATAGACTAGAATCTAGATACTTCTGTAGGTCACCATGACCACTACAATAAATGCCTAGCATTAGACTGGCAAAGTTGGGACTTCTTTTTGGTTTCACAAAGAAATATATAATTGTCTTTTTAACGCGATTGCGAAAACTAGCGTGACTGCGAAAGAAATTCTTATTGGCCTTGCAAAAGTATTCAAACATATAGGTCAGTAATATCTGGTCAGTTTAAATATATAACATAAGTGTCGCATGATTTGTAGATTGAGAATACTTATGACTACATTTTAACTTGTAAATCTACCAAATTCTCATTCCTATAGCCGAGTGTGATTCATTGTAGATCTCTTGGAGACTTTGCAAAGTGCATAGATTCTAGTCCAAGCTATTTCTGTATGCCGGAAATTATGATGAGAAAGCTGCTACTACATAAATTCAAACATGAAGTAAAGGTTAACCAGGACTTAATGGTTGCGTCTCTTGTTTCATATGAAACCAGCTCCCAGTGAAATGATCAGTTTCCTCATGATTATTTTACATGATATTGCAAATTCATATGGAACCAAACTACATTATTATTTTCAGACAATTTACCTAGTATTTAGTTACTGATATATAAGTATTTTGAAAGGACATGAAAGATCCCAAAGGTTTATTGTCATCACTTTGGCTGAATAGCCCTGTTCATGCTTTTTAAAAATGTTATTTGATGTGAGTTTATGACTTCAGGATTTTACTGAAAAAACAAACTAAAGCCATAAACCCACATCAAATAGCATATTTACAGTCATAACTTTGATTCCTAGTACACAAACCTACATGTAATTTGTCTCCATAAACAATGAGGGAAGTGGAAAAAACAAATCCACCTGTAATTTATAGCCATATACAATGTGAATAGTGGTAATAATAAATTTTGAAGCAAAAAATCCACATGTTATTTGTCTCCATAAACAACATTTTACATTTGGATTGAAGTAGAAACAAATCTTGAAGCCACAAGTCTTCATATACAATGAGGGAAGTGGAAACACCGAATCCTGAAGCCACAAATCCACATGTCATTTGCATCCATAGAGAATGAAAAATGTGGAAACGCCAAATCCTGAACCCCAACCCCCCACATATAATTGTCTCCATAGACAATAGAGGAAGTAAAAACAAATACTGAAGCCAAAAATCCACATGTAATTTTTTGCAATATACAGTGGGGAAAGTGGAAATACCAAATCCTGGAGCCAAACATCCACATGTAATTTATACAATGTCGGAAGTGGTAACAACAAATCCTGAAGCAAAAAATCCACATGTAATTTGTCTCCATAAACAATAGGGGAAGTGGAAACAACAAATCCACCTGTAATTTATGGCCATATACAATGAGGGTAGTGGTAACAAATCCTGAAGCCAAAATTCCAGTCATTGTAATTTATGGCAATATGCAATGGGGCAGTGGAAACAACAAATCTCGAAGCAACAAAGCCTCATTGTATATTGTCACAAATTACATGTGGATTGAGAAAGTGGAAACAAATCCTGAAGTCCATGACATTATATACAATGTGGAGGAATTGGAAACTAGAATACAAAACCGGGTATGGTTTTTCAGTTGACTCATTAAAAAGCAGTTAACCCATAACATCAATCCACTTGTGTTTTACAATGTACTTAATGCCAAAGTGTGTTAAAAATAAGTTGAATTCCTAGGTGTATGGCTAGCAAAAATAGTGCAGCTACAATATAGCACATGAAAAAGTATTCTACTTCGCACTTGACTGCTTTATAGAAATCCACGTTATGTATGTAAAATAATTTTTTTTTTTTTCAATAAAATTTGAACATGCACTGTGCAATGATGCTTTAAGTCTCTGAAATTTAAATGTTCCAGGAGTGTATGTGTCATGACTCTAGCAAGTTTACAATGACTCATTGTGTTGGAAAGTAATTAAGGTTACCAGTATATCATACTCGTCAAAGCAGTGGGCAAAAATTTGTAATTATTCCTGCAGTGATCCAAAATTTTAATATCAATATTTCATTTTTATAATTGCCAGTACAAGCATATAACCAGTGAAAATTGTTAGTATTTTGTAGAAATTCTTGCATGGGACCAAGGGTTTGGTAACATTTATTAATAACCCCGGCATGGAGAACATACCAGATTGTTTTTAAAAATAATAGTTATTAGATTTATACTTTAAAACTAAATGCAAAATTAAAAGTGCATGCAAGATCTGTTTGTGGTTTGTTAATCCCGAACAATATTTAGGGTTTTTTTTTGGGAAATAACTATTGATTTTAATGTTTACTTTATTGTGTACCAGTAAATTACAAAAAGTTGACATCGACAATAAACAAAAAAAAAACTGATCTCTGATAAGAATTGCCACGCCCACTATATGTTCATCAAACATCAACATGATTTACAAAGTTTATTGCCCACGACAATCACAAACTACTTGAAATTTAACTGATATAGGAGGACAACACGGCGGACATAATAGCTAACATACATGCTACTCACAGTTCTACACCAAAAATTCGAAAAAAACTAAACTACAGATAATTTTATTTACGTTGAACCTGTACAAACAATAGTAGTTGAGAATATTGCCAATGATGCTTACATTCGTAACAGATGAAGAAACCATAACATAATAAGTATTTAAAAACCTAATTTTCACATTGATCAAACTTGCTCTATTAGCAGGACATGTGCTAATTTAAATGACAGAGGTGTGGTTTACTGTAAAATACTTTATTTTAGCTGGAATTAATTTTCACTGAAAAGACTTTCTGGGTGTTTTGTATGGAATTTATTTTCACTGATTTTTGACAAGTTGAATGTAAAATATAGGGGAAAAAAGACATATTTGCTGGATTTTATTTTCACTGAATCATTCCTTCAGTGAAAATAGTGAAAATTAATTCCAAGCGAAAATAAAGTATTTCACAGTAACTAAATCACATAATCCAGTATGCAATATCGGGAAATGATTATTTTGTTAATGTGTGCTTTTAAAAAAGCCAATAATAATTTTTAATATTTGTTTTAAATACTGAGATGTGAGATTATTCTCATCTGAGCAGTGCAGTGATACATCAGAATCAAGCTTTCCCTAGTAAATAAGGTACTTTAAACTATTCGCTGGTTTTTAATTTTGCTTTTTTTTTTGGACAATAAGTAAAATCCGCTAAACTAAATCCATGTGAACATGTAAAATAACAAAAGAACTCATTGTTTTCCTTGCCAAGTTTGTGAACTTAGACCCAGTGAAATTGCTCAAAGCTCCAAAATGATGAAATTAAATGCCAGTGAAAAAAAATGGTTTTACAGTAGTGCAAAATTGCAGAAACTGGAAAAGCAAATTATTAATGACTTAAAGGATACATCAAATTAATTTATGACACATATAGCGGAATTTACATAACAAGATAATTGCAATAGGTATATATGTATTACAAAGTATGATTACAATTCATCATACATGTTTTGATCAGATAATAAAGACAAATTAAAGAATTATATTTCTCATGATGCACTGCTTGTGTACCTATATTGAACAGAATTATTTATTGTATGCCACGATAAATGACTTGAATATAATGTTAAAATAAAATGACTTTAATGGATTTAATGGATCACATAAAAAATAAACTTGCAATTGTTATTTTAAGTTATTGTCATCATACAAAGTTTGATTGAAATCAGCCCATTGGTCACTAAAGAAACAGTTGCTGACACATTTCAAGTACTGACATTTAGTCAGAATTGAGGACTGGTCTGCGTCATTTTGTCAGAATTGTGATTTCTTGTGTATAAATCATTCCGCATTTTAAATGAATGTGATGGAGGGCTTATTTGCGAACAGATTGTCAGTATGGTGTCTCTATCATTGCTCTCGTGCCCATGTAGCATACATATGTATGTTACCATTAACATGTCAATCATAATACTTCAATTTCCTGTCAGTGAAAGGATGCGATTTTCACGAGGGCAAATGAGGGCTGAAATTCCATCTAATAATTGCATGGAAATGAAAACAAACCGCAGCATGGAGGTAGAAGCAACCATATGATTGTTGGAGCATAGTAATACCTGATGTTTAGGTTTGGATATGTACATATGCTACGACTTGTCGTCAGTTTCTGGTTTGTAATGTCTGTACTCTGGTTTCAGTTCCCACATGTTTTTATGCGGTGCCCTCATGTTGTACACGCCAACATCTTTCAAGATTTCTTTTAAGTATGTCTACAATAAAGAAAAGAGAAAGTTATACATATGCAATAACAATAAATGGTGGTAGTCGTCTTGCCGTGTCATGTACGATCCGTGACTCACAGTGATGTACACAACACATGTAAAAATACATTGTTTGTTTACATGAAATTACATGAACATGCCTTGCGCAACAACCACTGCCCTTTAAAGATATGATGAATGCAAACAGTGACCTACCCTATCTTTAAGAGTCTATTTAGCTGGAAATAATACACTTATATGAAGATTTAAATATCTTCACACACCATTTTGTGGTGACATAGAAGTCATGCACACAGACACAAACATGGAAAGTATGATACGAGAAAGGGATAAATCATTTCCATGACTCACTAGTTACTATATAGAGGGCGGGCTATAGCTGGTACAGTTTTACGGGAAATAAAAAGGGCTTTTTACAAATTACAAGGAAAAAAAGACGTTTTTACAGTTTACAGTGAAAATTGAATTTTGCAGTGAATTGTGTCATCTAGTCATTTTACAGTTTTGAAAATGTAATTTCCCTGGATTATTCTTTACGGCTTTTTTCATTTGGATGTAAATTCTTGTATGTACCGAGAAAAATGACACACTTTACAGTGTACGAACAAATATTTGATGAATTACGGAATTTATTTTTTCAATTTACGTTGTACGAACAAAAAAATATTGCAATTACGTTGAACGAAAATAACCCTTGCCCCCCTATATATTCTTAATTTGTGGACATATTAACATACTGAAAGTCACGTACATTAAATACAACTTCAAATGTTTTAGGTAGTCCTAAGGATTAATAGGATTAGGATATGCAATGAAGATCACACACGAAATAAAGAAGTCATGTCAATTGCGGTATGATCACAAAACTGTGGAGAAACCTAGATTCTAATGCAAATCTGTGAAAGAACTGGTTTGTGTTATCTCGGACCATGTCCTTGCATATTTGCAAAGCATGTAATATATAATGTCGCTCACTTCTGTTTGCACAATTGTTCTATGACTAGTTAGAACTATGATCATTGACGTGCATTGAATGGATTTTATTTCAAACATTCACAAATCGCTTGAGTTCGCTTCTCGCAAGATTTTTGGCAAATGTAAATGTAATTCATAATAAATTTGGTGACTGGTGAAGGGTAGTGAAAGCCCATGGTTTTCAATGTAATAATTGTAGAAATTGTTATTATCAATGACAAATTATTCCACTATATGGTAACAGAATATAACTGGTCTGAACGATCATTTTGGATTACTGACTTCTTGGGGATGCAATTCACAACCGTGGATAGAACAGCATGATATTTGAATATCATCTGGAGATAGCAGTGCAGCACTTCATGGACAATAATGTTCAAATTATCAACCATAGTAGACACAAATAAAATAAACAATGCAGTGCATTTGGAGAGCAAACAAGTGTTCATACAATTAGCATGTACAAGAAATGGTCATCCTATTTAGACTGTGATATATACTGAATACCGGGGGGTACATTTCTTAACCTTTTGAACACCATAATTTTCACCAACATTTTGCACATTTTCGTGCATTTTTCGACAATTTCATTATTAATTTTAGACCAGATAGACATAATTTCTCATTGTTAACATATCTTTATCAAATTTTCATTAAAATATGGAAAAAAAAAATATTTTGTGGAAGGTGACTTTGGCCGTGATATAGAACTGTACATAAATTATCATTAGTCACTTACAATAGGCTGCTCTGTGATTCTCACTAGGTCTTTGATGTTATAATACTGATGTCTTTCAAAAGCACTGAACAGCATATCCAAAACGTCTTCTCGAGATCCTCTGGACCGCTTTCCAAGTTCTTTTTTCTTGTTGTTGTAATCAATCTGTGTATTAAAATAAACTGCATTTGTTTAGAATGAGTCTTGAGTAAAAAACTAATATTATCAGTACTAAGTGTCAGAGCACTATCATTAAATAACAATAGTATTGTCATTGAATGACTTCATTAATGTCAGAGTGTTGCACTAAGTGGCCGACTGTATTTAAATGGTGTCATTGAGCTAT